GGGTGGGGACAGCCTGGGGAGTTACTGCAGGAAGAATGTCTCTGAGTGCCGAGGCAGGGTCCCAGCCCCGCTCTGCCATGAACTGTGTCACCCCCCTGTGGCCCAGGGCAAGAGAGATGCTCCGTTTCAGGACAGGTGGGGAACTTCTGCATCATCCTGACCTAGCAGCATCCCTGGAACATGTCACTCTGCCCTCTGGGCCGGGGGTCAGGGTGCCCCGCCGGCAAATATCAGCTCCAGGGCAGCCTGAATGTCCCCTCCCGTGGCCTGCAGGGCTCGGAGGCTCAGGTCGTCATCGTGTATGCCCATATCCCGCAGCTGCTGCAGCTGGGGCTGCCACTGGCTCTGCAGAGAGAGGAGAGACAGCTAAGGGAATGCTCAAAAAGTTCCAGTAATTCCCCATCCCCCTCCACGGCCACCAGTGCCATGTCTGCATGTCTACTCCTCCATCACCTTGGGGCCTAAGCGTCTCTTGCTGGGAGCAGCCCCATGTCCAGTGGTCCTGCCCCATGCCCTCCTCCTCCGGTGTGTCTGCATCATTCCCCACAGCACCTAATGCTGGGAGCTCTGGCCAGCCCCGGAGCCACCTCTGGATGCGGCGTGGCCTGTGACAGTGGCTGCAATCAGAGCAGGGCGAGGTGGGTCACAGGGTCCCCAAGGGAGGAGACCGAGTTACTCGCCTGCATGGCGGGTTGCCCGGATGCCTGCAGGGCGTGCTGCAGGGCCTGGCTGAAGAGGTCGTTGGTGATAGGAGTTCCTGACTGGACGCTGGAGGACATCGGGGAGGTGCCCGAGGAGTGACCCTGGAAAACAGGAGACAATGCTAGCGGGGACCACACCGAGCCCTGGTGTGAACTGGCCTGCCATAAGGGGCTAGCCCAAAGCCACGTCCCCGGGCTGGGATTGGCGCTTGGTGGTCAGCATCAGGCTGCGGTTTGTGCCCCGAGAGAGGGGTTCCCTGATGTGCGCTGTGGCCCTACCTGGGTGCCGGGGGTGGGTGTGTGAGAGCTGCTCTCTGGCGTGCTGGCCAGGGCCAGCGCCGTTGCCAGCTCGCTCTGGGTGATCGGCCGAGGTCCAGCAGCGCCCGCGTAGCCGAGTGATGCTGGGCGGGACCCAGACGTGCTGCTGGAAGGCGTGGACCTCGTGCTCTGCCAGGACGGGAGAGAGCCCATGAGTTACCATCTACTTCACTGAGACCCTCAAGATACGCTCAGGGTTCCGAGGACGGCACCCTTGGAACGAGCCCGGCTCAGCTCGTCCCGCCAACACCCGTCTTGTGACAGTCACTGACGGAGTCAACAACTGAGAACCCCTAGGACTAGCCAGGGGCTCTGCGGTTAGACACCAGGAGGGCTGCAGAGATGGCAGATCATGCTACGGGGCGGGGCAGGCATCAGTAACTCCAAACAACGACAGAGCCCCAGAGTTTGGTTTGCCTGGTTCGATTGCCTGCAGCCTGGGCCATCTCGCGGTCATGGCTCAAGGCTGGCAGATGCAAGGGGACAAAGAGGAAAATGTAGAGTGGCTCTGAATTGACAGGATGTATTAGACAGAGCAATACATTAGGAGATAAGAGAGTAGTCGACTAACCAAAAGCCTGGGCTTATCGGTTAATCGAGTCGACTACTCGAATCCTCCCCTTGCTGCCTCTGTATCAGAGGCAGCAAGGGCAGGGGGAAGCAGGAGCTGGTGTGGAGGGGCAGCTGGCTTAAAAGCCAGTTCCCCCAGCACCATCCCGCCCCCGCCATCTCCTGTGCAGCTGCTTCTCTCCAAGGCGAACAGAGGCTGTTTTGCGGTAGCAGTTCCGGTCTGCGGGGGGTCCCTGTGGACAGGGGCTGCTGCTGGAATAGCCTCTGTCCGCAGCCAGCCCGGGCCGCCGCAGACATCAGCCGCTTCATGGCAGCTGCCTCCCCCCCCCACGAGAACTCTGATCATGGGGGGCTCGGACCCCCCGCAGACAGGGGCAGGGGGCTCTCCAGGAGAGGCCAGAGCACACTGGCTATTGGCCCCATCCCCGGGGACTATACAATAGTCAAGTAACCAATAAGAATTCATGCGGTTATTTGACGATTCTATTAACAGCCCTAATATAGAGGGAATTACTGGTACTACCAGCCATTAGCAGCCTCTCCAGCAATTCTGTCAACTGACCAGCAGCTGGGACACTGCCTCAGCCAAGCAGGGTCTCCCTCCTCTCTCCCTGCTGAATAATCAAACTATCGCCCCAGCCAGGGACTCGTCCCTCAGCAAAGAGGCCTGGAGCAGACGTACTTGTCTCACCCACCCAGGCGCTGCACAGCGCTCACGGGATTTGGTGCCAGCATTCAGGGAGACCCCCATCCTTCCGCTGGACCTACCGATTTCTTACTACGTGGGCCCAACTAGACACTTTTTCCGCTCCTCTCACTGCAGGATCTGGGCACTTCGCACTCATTAATGCCTTGATCTTCGCCATAGGCAGGGGCGACAGGTAATGCAGAGGGGGAAACTGAGGCACAGGGCAACGCGACACACTCAAGGTTGCACAGAAGGTCGTGGCAGAGCTGAGGACCGAATGCAGGTCTCTCCAACCTCAACCCGGTGCTGTAACCACTCTGCCCAAGGACAGCTTCAGAGTCTCTGATAGGACTATAAATGCAACTCCCCTCCCCCCCAAACCTAGATCCCTCCCCTGCCCTGCTAACATTACCTGATGAAAATCATCTTCATCATCAGAGAGACCTTCAAACAGAAAGCCACCTGCCCCAGGGAAGAGAATACAGTCAAGTGGAGACAAGCCCTTAAACAAATAATGCAAAAATCTCAGCTCCCATCTTCCCTCCCAGCAGAGGCGGTTACATCTCCCATGGCTTCAGAGAGGTCAAATAAGGACTGGACTTTAGAAGGATCACCCACTCACACTAAAATGCAGTCACCTCTGGGGTGGAGCGCAGACAACATCAATGTGCCAACAGCACTCGATAGAGCTGTGAAAAGAATTTCTCCGAGTGAAAGCTCAGGGAGAATTTAGGAGGCAGCAAAGTTACCTGAATTAGACGAAGACCAGGACAGCAGAGCTAACACCCTTACTCAGGCAAAAAATACCAAGGGCTTCAGGAGCACGGGGCCAGGATCGCAACTGATTTAGGTCTGATTCTGAGGGAAGCCCACCACCCAATCACACCCATGTGGTGAAGAGGCTCCATTGCATTTAGGCTCTGACAAGACCTACAGACACTGAGTAGTACATAAGATCATCAGAAGGGCCACACTGGGTCAGACCAAAGGTCCACCCAGCTCAGTGTCCTGTCTGCCCACAGTGGCCAATGCCAGGTGCCCCAGAGGGTGTGAACAAAACAGGGAACCATCAAGTGATCCAGCCCATCGCCCATTTCTGACAAACAGAGGCTAGGGACACCATTCCTACTCCTCCTGGCTAATAAATACAGATGGATCTATCTTCCATGAATTTATCTAGCTCTTTTTTAAACCCTATGAAAATCCTGACCCTCACAACATCCTCTGGCAAGGAGTTCCACAGATTGACTGCACTGTGTGAAGAAAAACTTCCTTTTTTGTTTTAAACCTCCTACCTATTCATTTCATTTGGTGACCCCCTACTTCATGGCTGCAGGCCTGCCATGCCCAACAATTTGACCACTCTCTAACTGGAGAATACGGGAATCAGTGAGGTCTACTTCTTAAAGCTGCAAGCGCCAGAGGAGAAGGAAAATCCTTTGCTCCCTGCCCCAAACGGATGCATGTTACTGAGTCAATAAGCCAGGCCTCCTGCTCCTCCTGTCTCCGGATGGCTAAGAACAGTTACTCCCTGGGTTTATCAGTAGACCCTACAGTTCTTCTACCCTGCGTGCACACAGGCGAGCTCACCAGGCATGTCCCTGTAGGAGCTGGAGGGCATGCTGCGGGAGGAGGTCTCAGGAGCCGGGAGGGATGTGCTGCCTGCCACCGAGTGCAGAACCAGGATGATGGCATTCACTAGAGCAGGGTGAGTCGGGATTAGCCTGGGCAGAGACAAGACAAGACACTCGGAGGTGGCACCTGAGGGCAGGAAGGCAGACACACACATCCCCGTCCCTGGAGCAGCAATTTCCAGTTTCCCAATGGGCTGTACTTCACCACCATCTCCAATCCCAGCTCTGGCAGCCTGATGATGTCATCCCTCCAGCCTAGCTGGTCTGGAAAGAATCCAGCCCCCCCGCCCAAGAGACATGGGCCGTTTTCTAGTTCCAAGTATTTTAAGTGGATTTGGTGCTAGTGAAAGATTTGAGGTTTGACATTCCTGGGCTGAGTCCTGTCTTTAGCCACTCCAGAGGGTACAGCCTGGCACCCCCCGGCTGCTGTGTCTCAAGAGACACAAGGCCAGTTTCTAGGTGAAAGGAATTTCCGTCCGTTGGCCCACCCAACCCTACACTCGGCTAAGTTGGCCAACAAGAGGGGTCGCTTTTTGGCAATGGGTTTCTGATGCAGACTTGGACCAGAACTGAGACTCCTCCAATCAGCATGCATAGAGCCCTGCGCAACAAGCAGCAACTTTCAGCCACGGCCAGCCAGGACTGGATTTGAACTCAGGAAGCAGAGGCGAAATCCACTGCATTGAAGTACCAATCTCTTGAGCCATCTCATCCTGCCCTCCCAAAGGTGCAGCCAGGGAGCTCAGCGATGGACACTAGGGATGTGAACGACTAGTCAACTATCCGATAAGCAAATGCTTACTGGACAGTCGACACTCTAGCTGACTAGTCGCTTCCCCCAGGGGTTCAGTCTTTTCCCAGACTACTACCACTACGAAAGAGGAAGTAGAAAGAAGGGAAGGGAGAGCCGCTGACCCAGCTGAAGCCACTGGAATGCCATGTCCGCACCAGCAGTTGAGAACTGGAATAACCATGCCTCCGACTTAAAGAAAAACCAGCCTGTGCAATTGTACGAACAGGTGCTGGTGGTTTGGATCCAGCCCTGGCCATCCGGCACTTACGTGTCTAGCATGTTTGGGTCAGCGAAGACAGAAAAAAGATCTTTGTCCTGCAAGACGCCTGAAAGAGACCAGGAAATGGGTTGAATCGGGGACAGGAAACAAAAGGGGCATCGGTCATGTGACCCAAAGCACACGTCACTCCATGGGCACTGGAGTGACGTGTATTCCTGGTGGCATCTCCTCTCCAGGTGGTATAAGGCTTCCACCTCCTCCCTACAAGACTCTGCATCATGACCCATCAGCTCCCAAGCACAAGGACCATGTTTTGAGCCAACAGTGGTTGCTGCGGAGCAGCTTACAACAGTCCTCTGCCTCAGCGCTAGCTGCTCTTCTGGCTCAGGGCCAGGAAAAGCAGCAACTCATGTCCTTACTAGAATCTGCATATGGCCATGCAGAGATGCTCCTAGATCACTCGGCTTGGCTAGCTGGGCCTGGATTAGAGGTAATTAATCCGCTGTGGCATTTGAAAGGGATAAATGCAAAGCAGACACATTCAGTACACACTCCCCGCGAGGTTGGCTTCCTTATGGCCCAGGCCTGCTCCAGCAGAAGCAGCTTGTCGAGTGTGGTTAGCAATAGCTACCACAATCGTAAAATCTGACGCCTGAGCAGATTCAAACCGCTCTGCAGAAACTGCCTTTTCCTGTTCTTCCTGGAGCCCAGAGTTCCCAACAGGTTCCACAGAGCACCCCTACTTCCACGTCCTTTAAACCACCTGGCCACATCTGAACTCACCGAGAGCAACAGGGTCGCTGCTGAGGCCAGGGGTAGCCACAATGATCTGATCCAGCGATTCCTTGTTCCCCAGCATCTTGAAGACCTACCAAAGGAAGCAAAAGAGATCAGCAGCGAGGAACTGGGGTAGCCTGATTTAACCTCCATCTCTCTCCTTTATTCAGTCTCACATGGTGAATGAGGGGTGCTTTGGGGGTGAGAAATATGCCACACTCACAGCATCTCTGTATCCAGGGCTGCTGTGCAGGGCAGTGTGCAGGAGCCGGAACTCTCTCACTGCAGCGACTTTATCCACAGGCTCTGAGGGAGACATTCAGAACAGACGGGGAGGAAGAATCAAGAGTGTTCATTGGTCAGTTTCATTACCTCTGCCCCTTCTGTCACCTATTTCCTCACAGTCAAGAGAGCCAAACACAGCCTGACACAGCCACGGGCGTGCGGTGGGGGGGGGAGGGGAGGAGTATCTAAAGACCTTTGCCCTAGCATTCCCAATCCTGCAATCTCAGAGGGGTGGTCGTGTAAGTCTGTACCTGCAAAAACAACAGAGAGTCCTGGGGCACCTTAGACACTAATAAATCTGTTTATCTCTAAGGTGCTACAGGACTCCTCGTTGTTACGGCAATCTCAGTGTCGCTGCTTTAATTTACCTGGTGCGATGCTGACCACTGAAGGCTCCCAAAGCAGATTAAAGAGAGTAAAAGGAATGATCGGATTTTGGTCCTCAACAGAACCAGTGTAATTGACTGTAACTCTTTTAAGGGTTCTGTCTCCACGCGCAGTGGGGATGCTTTCACAGTTCCCATGTCAGCATGAAGCAGACACAGGGAGCTCCCCTTCCTTTGAAGCTGGAGTTTTCACAGAAGACACCAGATCAATCCGAAGGAATTCTCCTCCTTCCACTACGCCTGGGACCCTACAAGAGGCAAGCAGGAGTATGTGCCCCTGTCTCAACTATAAGGCTGTGTCTAGACTACATGGCTCCATCGATGGAGCCATGTAGTCTAGACACAGCCTTATAGTTGAGACAGGGGCACATACTCCTGCTTGCCTCTTGTAGGGTCCCAGGCGTAGTGGAAGGAGGAGAATTCCTTCGGATTGATCTGGTGTCTTCTGTGAAAACTCCAGCTTCAAAGGAAGGGGAGCTCCCTGTGTCTGCTTCATGCTGACATGGGAACTGTGAAAGCATCCCCACTGCGCGTGGAGACAGAACCCTTAAAAGAGTTACAGTCAATTACACTGGTTCTGTTGAGGACCAAAATCCGATCATTCCTTTTACTCTCTTTAATCTGCTTTGGGAGCCTTCAGTGGTCAGCATCGCACCAGGTAAATTAAAGCAGCGACACTGAGATTGCCGTAACAACGAGGAGTCCTGTAGCACCTTAGAGATAAACAGATTTATTAGTGTCTAAGGTGCCCCAGGACTCTCTGTTGTTTTTGCAGGTACAGTCAGCACCACACATCTACACAGTGAAGAGTCCACATCCAGGCATCCTCTCTCTCACCTGGTTTCTGATCTGGCTCAGGCCATGACTTGCGCAGGACATGAACAGTGGAGCCTGACTGGATGCCATAAAAATCAAGTGTTTGGTCATCCTTCAGCTTGCGGCCACAGTAGATGAGATCTGAGAAAGAGAAAGCAAAGATCTAGAACACAGGCTGCTCCTATAGAGAGCCCCCTACCTTGGCCTGTATGGGATAAGTACTGTTCCAGGTGTGCCATCCCCAGGGTTAGATTAAGGGGCTTTAGGAGCTGCAGCTCAGGCCCTGGGCTAAGGAGGGGCCCCGCAAAACGATCGCCAACCCACCAAAAAGGCAGATTTTTTTCCAGACCCTCCTTAGCCCTAGGCTGCAGCCATTAAAGCCCCTGGGTTCCATCCCTGTCTAGCAAAAGGGGGGGGGGAGCATGTTGCCATCTGCCCCCCCCACCCCGCCAAGCTGGAGCTGCAAGAGCAGGGAAGCTCTGTCCACCCGCTTCTCTCGCCTGCAGACTCCACCCCCACAGCCCCAGTGGCCAGCAATCATGGTCAATGGGACCTGCAATGGGCAGGGCCTGCAAGTGAGCACAGGGCAGTGTTCAGACCCACCTGCCCACTCCTCTCCCTTGGATCTGTGCCAAATGGGAGCTGACTCAGGTAAGTGACCTGTGTCCCAACCCCCTGCTCCAGCCCTGATTCCCCTACTGCACCCATTCCTGCCCAAACACTGCACTCTCACCCCAACCTCCTGCCCTGAGCCCCTCCTGCACTCCAAACCGCTTGGGCCCAGCCTGGAGCCCCCTCCTGCACCCCACTCCAGAGCCTGAACTCCCCTGCTGAAGTCCTTACCCCCCCACAACCAAAGCCCTATCCCTATCCCCTCAACACTCTGAATGCCTCATTTTTGGCCCCACCGTGGAACTTAGAGGGGCCCCACAAAATCTAATAGCCCCAGACCCTCAGAAGACTTAATCCAGCCCTGACCATTGGCCTGCCACATGATGTAGCAACTCTTCAATAGTCAATGGCATAATCATGTGCACATTTCAATGCAAGGGGACCGTGACACTGAGGACACCAGCCTGGCTATGCATCCTCACAGGATCACACGGTTTAAAAGAACTGTCCAACCTCTCAGAGTTCTACTGGTGTCAGGTACAAAGTACATCTCATAGCACAGACAGGTGCTACAATCCTGCCTGTTTGGAAGGATTTGTTACAAGCCAACCTGGAAAATAAGGATGGTTAAAGTGTCTATAATAACTAGAATTATATACAGCAACACTGGAAGCAAAGACACTCTAGCCAGTTGAAACTGTTGTATGAAATTTGGTCATGCTCCCAGGCCTAAGAAGGCCAAGTGCTGCAGACAGGCAGCAACTCACCAATGAGTTCTGGGTCTGGGACTGACTCCTGGAGCTTTCCGGTGATGAGCTGCTTGAGGTAGGAGATGCTGCACCCACCCAAAGGGCACTCTCCCAGCTCGGTCTCCGGTAGCCGCAGGATGGATTTGGGGGCCAGCGGCTGGTCTGCCAGCTTCACTGCAATGTGCCACTCTGATAAAGACATCGTCTCCCTGTCGCGGAGGGGAAACCACCTAGAAGAGGCTGCGAAGGGAAGGAAACAAACCAAGGTGAGACCCTGTCAGCGGGGTGACATCACTGGGAGGGCTGCACCCAGCCGCGCCCTGAATCCCGCTCTGGGGCCTCTGCCCTAGTCCCCAACACGGGGGGTCGTGAACCCAAATCCTGCCCGAGCGGGAGGGCCCGGGGCCCCACCACGGAGCCCAGCTCGGCCCAGGCGGGGCCTTTCCTGCCCCGGCCCATGGGATCCGAGAACGGGGGTCTCTGTCGGACCCCAAGCCCCGCCCCCCCAGCGGAGCCAGGAGCGGGGGGCCC